ATAGATAGATAGATAGATAGATAGATAGATAGATAGATAGATAGATAGATAGATAGATAGATAGATAGATAGATAGATAGATAAGTGGGACCACATAATTGTGGTAACAAGTGAAGAGGAGGAAATGGTGGCAGAGGATCTGAGGTTCTTTGGAGACTGAAGTTGGATCAGGAGGAAAGGGGCTTCCCACATCCTGCTTAGTCTCAGCCCACCATAAGCTGGGGGAGGATCAGATGATGGTTGCTGTGATGGAATCTACAGTTCAGTATTCTTTGAAGGATTGCACATCATCTGCTGCTTGTCATGGCAGCATTTTAGAATACAATCATCTCATACTGGCTGAGGAGGCCATCTTGAATTACGTAGCCTCCTCAGCCAATAAGAGATGATCATATTCTAAAACTATATCTATCTAAAGCATTTTGCTGGCAGACAGTGTTGATTCCAAACATTACTGATAAAATTCTGATCACATAATCTTGATTTGTCTTTATTGTTATTCTTATGTTTGTAGTTTTTTTTTTCTTGTTCAGCCTATTCCTCCTCAGTCAGTGTTTTCTCACTCAACGATAATCTCAGGTGTCTATGCCAGAGGTTCTCAAAATGGGGTCCCAGGATCCCCAGGGGTCCGTGAGTCATATTTTGGGGGTCCTCAAAAATTTTCAAGAAATTGTTAATTTGTTTTTTATTTCAAAAAATTCAAATGGGGAATAATGCACTAGTAAAACAAACATACTAAACCAAACAAAAATACTATTACCATGGCATTTTGGGGTTAAAATAATGGTCATTTACTTTGCATTAACATCATGGGCTTTATTAAGGGGGTCTCTGGATTTCTTTCACTCTTGTAAGGGGTCCCCAGTCCCAAAAAGTTTGAGAACCCCTGGTCTATGCTTTCTGCTCTGTGTCTCATTCCTTCACCTTGCTCATTGTTGGCCTCCACACTACCAGCAAGGGTCTCCTTGGAGCTGCCTGCAGCACAGAATAAAACTCCATAGGGTGATTAAGGGCACCAGAGGATAATAGGCTGTCCTCTCCCAAAACTACCAGAACGGTATAGCTCTCGCTGCTTCAAGAGCATCAAGAACATTTCTCCAAGACACATTCACCCAGGATATGCACTGTTTGAACACCTGCCTGTCAGATGTTTCAGATCTCTAACCACTAGAAGAACTGTCTAGAGATTGAGAAACTGTTTTACCCATCAGCCATCACCATGCTGAATGCTGTGTTCAATTTGACAGTCTATTTTTAAGTGCAATATCAGCAATTATTTATTGTCTTTTTTATTTAAAAAAAAAGATAAGACACTTTTTTATTTAGAGAATTGCATCCAAATGTTGTTGTACAATGTTTCACTGTTACAATGAAAATAAAGATTCTATTCTGTGGTATTCTTCTTGTACCTCTTGGGTTTGTGTAGGTTACGATGCCATGTCTGTGACAGTGTTGGAGATCACTCTCAGCTACTGCCACAACAAAGATTAGATCAGTGTGTGTTAAACTGACTGATTTATTGTTGTGTGTGTGTTATTCAAATCAACTGGCTGTGGTAGACATCGTGAATCAGGATGTCTCGACAGACTGGAAATGCGCATTCAGTGATTGCTCCCTGGGAAGTTCATTAAAATTTATTCAGTGCCTCATTAAATATTTTGCTAACAGACAGAAGACAGGAACCCGCAGACAGACACAGACAAAATCATTGTGTGAGGGGGATAATGGAACCACAGGGTTATTAGGAAGCTAACTCTAAGATAGATACTGGGAAGGTTAGGGAGAGATGTTTCCTGTGTCTGACCACAGTCCTGACCCAGAGACGTTCAGTCACATCCTGTCCACTGAGGGGACCAGCCAGCAGATCATTAGCTCACAATGTTTCTGTCTTGCTAGCTTCTCATTTTCTTGGCTCGATTATAGTGCACTACAAACTTTTTGTCTTCATTTGTCTCAGAATTATTGTTTTTACGCCATGTTTTTATGTAACCTCATTTTATCCACTTTAAGGTGTCTTAAAGTGAGGTGAATTAAGAACTTTTTGTACTAAACAATTTGCCTGTAAGGTATTCACAGGTGTAACATGTTTTTCCAGAGTAAAGTACCTCAAATGTTTTATGTGGGTAAAACAAACAGTTCTTTCTTTAGTGATATGGCATGCATAGTACAGTGCGTGAAAAGCACAAAACTGTTGTTTCATTACTTTTATCTGATAGATGGTGACCAGAAAAATGATGTTGCATTGTTTGTTGGTGATTACTTTTTGTTCACCTGAAGTGAATGAGGTATTATACAAAGTAATGTTTTTTAGCGTTATATTTGTACAAAGCTCTGCCTATTCCTCCCTGGAGCTCAGTCTGCATTCGAGCTTTCGCCCAACATTAACAGTTTGGTTGTTTTCTGGCGTCTGTAATCAGTCATGTTCTGATAAAACTCAGTGAGAAGCTGTTTGTGTACTGCATTGTTAGAAATGTTGTATTTTATGGTAAATGTCATTTCTGGATGCCTGTAGGACATCTTAAAGCTTTCAGTAACCTGCCAGCCATCCAACCAGTCACCCTTCCATCCTCGTGTCACAAGCAACTATAGACAGGAGGCTGCAATATTTTCATTCACTATAGATGTCAAAAGTGAAACGCACTCAGATTAAAAAATATATAAATAAAAAATAACTTCCATTCTTTGAACCTTTCAAATCCAATATTTTCAAATTTTACATTAAATTTCACTTTCAGCATCCAATTCCAAGATTCCATTACCGTTTTCCCGCACTGCAGAGATCATGGGACCAGGTTACTTTTTACATTCCCTCCCTGCTTGGTGCCAAGCAGCCACACAGATATCCGATATCACCACTTGATTCTCCTCCATTTCCAAAAGCTTCCCTGAGGCTGATCTGGTGTCAGGGCAGTGTGATGGGACCGGATTTGCTGCCGACACAGCAAGGTCACAGAGCTCGTCGTTTCCATCAAGGGAAACCTGAAACCTTCCATACTCCTGGTTCTGTTCCTTGCTCTGCCTCCTGCAGCCAAGGAACTCCATGCTCCTCCGAGCTCACGCCACACAGTCAGCCTCACGTTTCACAAATTGTTCTCATTCTAAACTGTCACTGAAGATACCATCATCCTGCTGACTGCTGAACACAAAGAGTGACCTTGTTGAACCACCACCAAAATTTTTTTTTTCATAGTAAAAGAAAATCCTAATTGTTATGGCCCACAAAATTTAGCATAGTGGTCAATGGACTGTACTTATATAACACCTTTCAAAGCTCTTTACAGTATGATCTGTGTCCTCATTTACCCTGATCAGTGCTTCAAATCACATTCTTACATGGATGGGACACACATCAGAGGCAGTGGTGGTTCAGTGTCTTGCCCATGGTCTCTTCAGCATGTGACTGAACAGCAGTGGAATTGAACTGCCAACTCTTGCAACAACAACTTCTCTAACCACTCAGCTACAGCCACATGTCATGAATAGAGCTGCCACAAATGATTATTTTTATAATCAATTAATCACCGATTGTTTTTTCAATTAGTCGACTAATCGGATCATACGTTAATTGAATATAAAACATTCAGCTTATCATGCCAGAATGCAGCTGCTATTATATAACCATTTTTAGATTTTGGCTATATGCTAACTAAAAATAATAGCTGTGGAAGGTAGGTTCTGCCTTGCAGATATTGCATTGCACAGGTTTCTGTTTCATTATCTTAAAATGATCCCACACTTTTAAGCTACATTGCTGGGTAGCCATGATACCAGGGCCTGTCTGTAATGTCTTGTGACGTCCACGGCCTACCCCATTTACCACTACTGCACATGTGTGTCAAGGACAGAAAGGTAGATGTGGCAGTGGAAGGTGTCAAAACAGTTTGAAGAGGAAAACAAAGTAAATAACAAAAAAAACCAACAACGATTAATCGATTATTAAATTAGTCATCGATTATTTTAATAATCGATTAGTCGTCGATTAATCGACTAATCGTGGCAGCCCTAGTCACGAACCATTGGACAGTTTTTATAGCAGCTTGCTAAAGTAATCAATGGATAGACTTCTTCAATTAACTTGTGAAGTCAACTTGATTCAACTGACCTTATAAAACACAAAAATGACCAAATATTTAGTTTTAAATGTAGTGACCTAAACTTCTGAGTGACTGAACCTGAGACTGACTGAAACATTTTCTAACAAATTGAACAAGATAGTTGTTTAAAATGTTGACATTCAGTTACTGAGGTAACTCTACTGGGAAAATACCCAAGAACCAATAAATTAATTTTAATGAAACTTTCTGCCAAGTTAGAAAACACAAAAATGGCTCTAAAGTTCCAGTTATTAAGCTAAACTCTACAGCCACACCGAGGACTGAAAGTTACTCATAATGCAAACTCCAAGTGCTGCTCATTGCATCAGGTCATTACTCAACTCATGTCAACATGGCCACTACACCCAGCTATTATCTAACATTAGGAAACAACAAGTGGCTATACTTAGTCAGTTTTCCAGATAAAGCAGCACATATGTGTAACCTCTGACATGCATATTAACAGCTCCAATTTTTCCACAGCAGATGGTTTTAATCTTATACTCAGGCAGAATGGTTACAAATAATATGTATTCAATAATTAAATAATTAGTCTTTAATTTCTGTTTTACTGAAACAAAGCTGCTGGTGATGTCAGTCATTTGCACATTCTTCATTTAAACAACAAAGTTTGTACTCACCATTTATTCCAGCATTCTTCCCATTCTCCTTGGTGTTGAGTAAACAGCTCTCCTGGTAAACTCCATTGCGGTAACAACTTTCAGCCTGAGTGAGCTGTGGCGGCGGGTCCCAGCACAAACATGGAGTTTGCATTATGCCACAGGGACGCTTAGACGTGCTGGAGGCCAGGCAGTCCTCTAGCCACTGGCACAGCATCTGACACGCTGCCATGCTGGGGTTGCGCTTCCCCACCACAAGGTATTCCGTTTTAAAATCCCCGTCTTCATCAGGGATCTGCCTACCAGTCCTAGGAGGTCCTTTTCTCATTTGTAGAAACTGCTTCCCAGCCTCCAGAAAGGCCACCGGGGCAGAGGTATCACAGAGCCCCACAATCTCATCAAAACTCTCCATGCCCAGGTAGGTGCGTGTGGTCTCCAGGAAGGAGTCGTACTGGAAGGTGCGGAGCTGTGACGGCACGCAGCTCCCTGTGGGTTTGGTCACCTTGATAAATATGGTGTACCGTCGTGGGTCAGGATTCTGCAGGGTCCAAGAACAAGGCACAGAAGGAAACACTGATGAAGACAAAAAGAAGCCAAAGAAGCGGCTCTGAACTAAAGTGGAGCAGGAGTCTGACTCAGGCCCCGAAGGGGCTGCAAGACCCCTTGTGAGGAGTAAAAAGAAAAAAGTAAAACACCGGAGTGAAGCTGGAAAAAAACACTTGGTTTGGTTTGCCATGATTTCCACAGAAGAAGTGCAGTATCACAGGTAGATGGCTGTTAGCTTTGGATGATTCAGTTTCCCAGCACTGCAGGAAAAACAAAGGCAATGAGGAAGAAGATGGAAAATTTGGTTCCTCTCAAAGATCCAGAGATAAATTCATAGCTGTGCAGGCAGGTCAGCCTTTCCATTCACCAGAACCTGTGAAATTGGAAAAACAAGATACAGATTAGACTTTGTATCGGATCAGACAATTGAATAGGATTACATACATCTTATTTATCTCACAATAAGAAATCACTATCAGCCTCTGAGCCATTTACAC